CTCCTCTCCCTCCTCGTCCTCCTCCTCCTCCCACCCCCCCCCCCTCCCTTCCCATCCTACCCCCATTTTTCCCTCCCCGCTTCGTTGAGAAACTCCATCTCCCCCCCCTTCAACCGTCCAATGCTCACCGGACTTCTTTGTCAACCTCAATTTACATTTCTGAACATCCAGAAGAGAGCCTCATCACCACCGGTCCTTCATACAACAGATACTATTCCACCACGCCTGTCTGTCGGCTTTGTGTTGTAGCTCCGAAACAGGGACCTAGGGGTGCCCTTTTGAGCTGCAGGTTGCGAATCCCCGTTCCTCGATTTGAATTTCGCCAGTTATCCCACCGCCACACTCCTCCAAGCGACTTGAACCTTGACCTTATCCCCGTCTCGAAATTTGTGTTTTTCTTTGTATCCAACACTCCGCTCTCTAATCTGCCGAACGGCGGCCTGGACGCCATGAGCAATACCACCTCTTCCCCTACCTCCGTGCTTGCTACAAACACCTCTTCCCGCACAAATTCTTCCGCATCCACCGCAGGTACCAAACGCAAGCGCAATGTCGTAGGGAAATACTATGCCGTCAAAGCGGGCTATCAGCCGGGGGTTTACTACAGCTGGACCGATTGCCTGACCCAGGTAACTGGGTACAAGGGAGCCGTTTGTAAGTCGTGAACGACCCTAGTCGCGCGGTCGCTGACTGACAACCATACCAGTCCAGGCATTTTCTTCTTTCGATGATGCGAAAGCCTTTCTCACGGGGGCCACCGTTGGCGCCGGTCGCGGCGGAAACAACTCAAGCTCCGATCCCCCCAGATATTACGGCGTCCAGCGCGGGAGAGTGCCCGGGGTCTACACCGACTGGTCAAAGGCGCAGGAACAGATTAAAGGGTTCACCAAGCCGCGATACAAGAAATTTGCGACCAGAGAGGAAGCCGAGGCATTCGTGAACGAAGACCAAGGAAACAGCGCCACTTTCGCAAAGGCCGCAAAGTTATCGGGGGCACCAGGTCTGACAGACGCGGTTCCGACGGATGCGCATGGCGTAGCTTTTGAGCCAGGAACCGGACCTTTACCTCCTGGGACCACGGACGGATTTGATCCGAATGTGCTTCTGGATCCCACCACTGGGAAAGTGATCTACAAATCTGCGGATCAGAAGGCTGCCACAAAGCTACAGTCGAATGCTCCCCCGGGGATGTTGCGCATCTACACCGACGGTAGTTCCCTCAAGAACGGGAGAGCGCTGGCTTCAGCGGGTGTGGGCGTATATTTCGGCCCAGGAGATTCAAGGTTAGTGACTTACCAAGAGATCATTTGTGTCCTTTCGAGCTCCCGGCTGCAACACGCTAAGATCGCCAAGTTTCACTAACTCTTCATCACTCAGCAGAAATGTGTCCGAGCCTCTACAGGGTAGCCGTCAAACAAACCAACGAGCGGAATTGACTGCAATCCTTCGAGCTCTTGAAATTGCTCCCCGCCATCGGGATGTAACCATCTTCACAGATAGCCAGTATTCCATCAAGTGCGTGACACTCTGGTATCGCAAATGGCGACAGAATAATTGGATGACAGTGGGCAACAAACCCGTGGACAATAAAGATCTGGTCGAGTCGATTTTGTCCAAAATTGACGAGCGCAACGAGCTGAACGTCCAGACCTTATTCGAATGGGTGAAAGGTCACAGCTCGCATCCAGGCAACGAAGCTGCCGATCGCCTGGCTGTGAATGGCGCCCAACGTGGAGTGGCCGAGAAGGCTGCGGCGATGGCAGCAGCAGCCAAAGAGATCCCGGATGATCTGTTTGATGATGATAATGACGATGACGACGATTTCTAATGGAGAATCTACTCAGCTGAATCCTGGATGGAATGGTGCATTGAACAATGCTCCGCGCTGGTCTGCTGTTGTGCTGTTGTGGTACTTGATTTGCGTTACATTCGAGTAACTCCGTTATACCTTCAATGTGTATTTAGCTTTCTACACTGACAGATTACCCCTGGAGGGAGAGATACCAATGGACTACACTGGATGCTTAGCTGCCCGAATGTTGATTTCTGAACACATGTGGATGGGTGCATACATAGGCCTACAAGAAAAGTTAGGCTCAAAGCGGGATGGGAGTTTGCTTTAGGTAGTAGTAGTAAGTAACTCCGTAGTTGGCCAAGCCTTAAGAATAATAGCCGCCGGGTCTTTCCTCCCACTACCGAACTGGCCCCCAAACTTAACCTATTCCTTCTTCCTTATTCCACACTCCGGATTACCTTGTCAATATATCTATTTAGGATCTCACCAGGACCCCATTAGGACCTCACGCGTTGCTTGAGCTGATTGCTTCGGCACTCTTACCCTCTCTTTGCTCTGTGTCACCCTCTCTTGCCATCGAGTCTAAACCCCGCTCACTGCTTGCTTCCCCACCAACCGTCAATCTGGCTGCTGCGAAATCCTCGATTAATCGAATGATCCAAGGACGCCACCACGCAGTCACAAGTGCTCTTACTATGATTGAATAACACGTGCTTGTGGATTTTGACATACCTAGACCCTCAGAAGAACAAATACCGACGAAATTGTCTCTCAAAGCCGGTAGTTCTTACCCGGAGACTGACTGACCGCCACCCATGCCTACCCTATCGTTGATCAATTTCAACATAGTCTGTGCGACGTTAGGGGGATTCATCTCCCTCTTTGGACTAGTCTCCTACTTATTCAAGGAGAGATTGTACCTGTCTGAAGCCTGTGCGTCATCATTTTAGACAGCGATTGATGCGCCAAAACCAAGACTGACACTTCGTAGTAATCTCCTTGCTTGCGGGAGTCATCTTCTCCCCGCATGCTGCCAACTTCATTCGACCCGAGGAGTATGCCCTCGGGTCGGAGCAGAACCTGGGGGAAATAACTATGTACTTCACCCGGCTTGTACTAGGGGTCCAGCTCGTCCTAGCCGGGGTGCAGCTCCCCAAACGGTACCTGCAGCTGGAATGGAAGAGTCTATCTCTGCTCCTGGGACCGGGCATGGCGGCCATGTGGATGTGCAGCAGTCTAGTTGTCTGGGCCATGGTCCCGGAATTCCCGTTCTTGCATGCCCTCATCGTGGCCGCCTGTATCACCCCGACGGACCCGGTGCTTTCAAACTCGATCGTCAAGGGCAAATTCGCCGATAAGCATGTGCCCCGTCCGCTGCAGCGCATCATCGTCGCGGAGTCCGGGGCCAATGACGGCCTTGGGTACCCATTTCTGTATTTCGGCCTGTATCTGCTCAAGTATGTCGAGATGGGAGGTGAGGCCTACAGTGGTGGTGCGGGGAAGGCCATAGGGCTATGGTTCTATGAGACCTGGGCGTATACCGTGCTCTTGAGTGTGGTCTATGGCATCACGGTCGGTTGGATCTCCCGCGAGCTGCTCCATTGGGCAGAGGAGCACCATTACGTGGATCGAGAGAGTTTTCTCGTTTTCGCTATCGCTCTTTCGGTAAGCTCGAGCGTCAGTCGGATTGCGTGCACTGCTGATTTCAGTTGCAGTTGTTCATTGTCGGTACTTGTGGGTTGATTGGGACCGATGATCTGCTTGCCTGCTTTGTGGCTGGTAATGTGTTTACGCAAGAGTAAGAGACCGCTTTCCTGATACTTCAGCTGGTACTGACGGAATAGCGACTGGTTTCGACTTGAGACCATGGACGACTCATTGCAACCCACTATCGATATGCTTCTCAACTTGGCGGTCTTTATGTGGTTTGGCGCCGTCTGCCCCTGGTCGTCGTTCCTCAACAACAGTGTCATTCCGATTTATCGGTTGATCTTTCTGGGAATTCTAATTCTGCTCGTCCGTCGCATGCCAATCGTGTTTGCCATGCACAAGTATATTCACCAGATCGAACATCTCTACCAAGCGGGGTTTGTGGGCTTTTTCGGACCCATCGGCGTGGGAGCCATTTTCTACTTGTCGGTATGTCGGGAATTCCTGCAGGGAGTTACAGCCAACGGCACCGTGCGGGAAGACGCGCAAAAGCTTTCCGAGGCAGTCGATGTCATTGTGTGGTTCCTGGTCATCTGCAGCATCGTGAGTAGTCCTTTAAATCCGGCTACGTCTTACCTTCTCGTGGAGACCTGCTTCTCTAACCCAATCTGCAGGTTGTGCATGGCCTCTCTATTCCGCTGGCTAAAGCGGGCTACCATTTGCCCCGAACAATCTCGCAGGCTCTCAGCACCAGCGCGACCCAAGAACAAGATCCTATTCCCATCGAAAACATCAGCTTCACCCATAGTACCGCGACGCGCAACTCAGAATTGTCGCACAGTCGGGGCCGTAAACGCGGTGCTGGGACCACGTCCAGGGATCCACCCCCGCAAACATTCTTCCAGATTGGCCGCCCAGTGGTTCCGACTACATCTCTGCGTGATCAAATCGGGGTTGGTGGTGCGGACGAGCCCGCTCGGCCGGTGAATCTGGTCACTTATGATAACGAGGCTGGAAATGCGGCTTAAGGTGTGGTGGTGGGGCTGCAGGGGGAGCTGAAGCCTGGAGGTGTGGGGCACTGGCCAATAATGCGCTGTGTGGCTGGTCGATCATAGATGGATGATACGAGGGCGTAGGATGGGAGTGGAGATCGTATCAAGAAGAATGTTTGTATATGAAGGTGTTCATGATGCTGACATGAGGCAGCCGGAATGAGGGGAACAACTGCTGTATATACCTTATATTCTGGTTTGTGATTGAAGAAACTGTAGGTACTTGGCATGAAATATTGAGGTGACGGTGTGATAGTTCTCTTCCTTGTGTCGATCACGGTGAGTGATTTCGGCCGATCCAAGTCAGATCGTTGAAGCTTAATCAATAGTTCAGTCCAAACTACACCCCCACCCACTTGACCTGTGTCTCGGTTTCTTAAGAACCCTCAATCTTCAGCTTCGTGCTTCCCACCTTCTTTTCCTTCTTTTCATGTCATCACACAACACCATGACCATGGAAGAAGACTACGACACCCCGATCACCATCGTGGGCGCTGGCCCCGTAGGCATGCTTCTGGCCTACCGCCTCAACCAATTCAACATCCCCTTCCTTATCGCCGATCAGAACACTCAGACCACCAAATGGCCCAAGATGGATCTGACCAACTGTCGCTCCATGGAGATCCTGCGCGTTATGGGTTTGGCCGACGACTACCGCGCCCAGGAAAACAGCGTGCCTGTCTCCACCGACTTCGACACGCAGTTCGTGACCCGGATCATCGGACCAGAGAGCAAGCTCCTAGGCACTTGGGTAAGCTCAATCCTCATACACTCACTTCACATCTCTTTGTGCGCTACCCGGGCCAGTCCCACTAACTCACGCGCAAAACAAGCCCGTCCCCTCCGTCACCACCCAGCGGGAGTTCAGCCGCCAGACCAACGACGGCACTCAACCCGCCGAACCGGGCCAGCGCTGCTCGCAAGTCATCTTCGAGCCGTGGATCCGGAAGCTCATCCTCGCGCAAGCCGACACCGGCAACGCGGCGATGCAGATCCGTCTAGGATGGAAGTACCTGCACCACGACGAAGACGCGACGACCGGGGTGGTGTGGACGACCTTCCTCGATGTTGCGACAGGTGTCGAGCATCGCGTGCGCAGTCGCTACCTTGTCGGCACGGATGGAGGAGGCAGTCGCGTGCGTCACGCTGCGGGCATCCGCATGCTCGGAGGACCGATGTACGTTTCACCCTGCCCTCAATCTTCCCTCGATCCCCTCCCCATTGACATGAAGCCCAGGCCCATGCGCTTCTACCTCGTGCACTTCCGCTCCCAGGAACTGGCGCGCTCGTTCCCCTTCGGCCGCTGTTGGCATATCTTCTCCACGAACGGGGGGTTCATCCTCGACCAGGACGATAAGGATACCTTTACCGCGCATTTCCCCGTCCACTTGCTCCCGGAGGGGGAGGAGATCGACCCGAAGGAAGTGGTGTATCGAACTCTCGGGGGCCCGCTTCCCAGTCAGAAGGCGGTGATCCAGATCGATGAGATCCTGGTGCACAGTGCCTGGACCCCGAATTTCAGTATCGCCGAGACGTATCTTAGTGAGGGTGGGCGAGTCGTGCTTGCGGGTGATGCGGGTGAGTTTGATTATCCCTTTTCCCTTCCCAGGCGGCAGTACACCTATACCTCGGGACTGCACACATCACCTTTCCTCCGATGTACCTTCTGATACACCCCCTGCTACCTACCTTCCATGACCCCAACACCTCACACCACCTACTCCAAACTACGATAACCTCCCCACTAACACAAAACCAAAATCAGCCCACCGCACCCCCCCGCACGGCGGATACGGTCTCAACAGCGGCCTAGCCGACGCCTTCGACCTCGCCTGGCGCCTCGCCGCCCTCATCCAATCTCCAAGCTCCTACGGCGGGCCCTTGCTCCTGCAATCGTACACCCTCGACCGACGTCCGGCCATGATCCGAGCCCTGGCGCGCTCGCACCGCCACCTCCTCGAACATCTCAAGCTGGCCGCGATGTTCCCGGACCCCGTTGGCATTCTGGAGCGGGACGACGACGACGACCCGGAGGCCGCCGCGCTGAGGCAGAAGATCCGCGCGTTTCTGGAGGGGTCTGGGCCTGAGACGCTGGATCGCGGGGTGGAGTTGGATTTGAGGTACGGGTCTTTTGGGGTTTGGGGGGATGACGATGATGATGTCGAGAAGGAGCGGGCCTGGGAGGCGGAGAGCTATGTTCCTTCAACAAGGCCGGGGCGTAGGGTTCCTCATGTTTTCTTGCGGGGCTTGGAGGGTGAAGAGCGGGATGGGCTGCTGGGGAAGGAGAGGAGTATCTATGATGAGTTTGGGCCGGCGTGGAGTCTGGTTCATTTCGTGGAGGAGGAGGATGAGGAGGGCGCGCAACGGCACGGCGGAGGTGAGGATGGCTGTGCTGCTACGGCGGGAACGATCGTCACCGTTGCGGCCGCACGGGGAATACCGCTCAAGCTGGTCAGGCTGGTCAACGAGACCCATGCGCACCGCGTCTGGGGGGCGAGTTTGGTCCTCGTGCGGCCGGATACTCATGCTGCGTGGCGTGGGCCGTGGAGGCTGGACACGGGGCCTGCAGTTGGCAAGGCGTTGGAGACAGAGCAGGTGGAGGCAATCTTGCGCGTTGTTACTGGACATGAACGCTACAAGGGTTACCAACCGGATCAGGCGCTGGCGAGCGAGGAGAAAAGCTTTCTAAAGCTGGTAGAGGTGTTCCAGCCCGAAGACCTGAGTGTGCATTCGGCGGTGACTATTGCCGAGGACAAGTAGACAGTGAGAACCTCGCTCTACCATTGTCCTCAAATATCCATGTCAAATTTGTCCATTTACTGCTACAAGAACCATTGTATCACTTATCTTAACGCATTTTATTTCTCAACGCTTTTTTTAAATCGTAACTCCAATCCTTCTTTTGAAACGACCTCCGCCGCCCCGATTTGCATACACCATACCACACCACACAACATTAGTAGGAAGAGAGAGTCCTAAATGTCTGATCGCAACAGATAATCCCCCACATGCAACCCATCATAATCATCATGCAAGCCAGCCGAAGCCCCCACTCACCACCCCCCTCCGTGATTCCCTCTATCAAGATCTTCTTGATAGACAAGTCTATAAAAGAAATTCATGCAGTCGTTAATAATCCCGTCCACGCCACATCAAAAGAACCCATCTGCATCAGCGAGCAAACCAAAGGGCTATGCGAGGAAACTGGGGTATATATCAGAGCGACATCCCACCGGACTGCACCGCAAACGCAAAAGATCGTGAAGGAGGTGGATCAACTACAAAATGAGAGAGAAAAATGTATCATGATAACCACAAGTCAAAAGAGGATAGAGAGAAAAAGAGAAAAGCAAATCGCAATACAATACGAATAGATTGAGATAATCCCGCCATTAGCAGCGACATAAGAAAAGAAAATAGCAAAACAAGTCTCGAACAGCGAATCGTCCGGTTGCAGGGAACGTGCCCAACAGTCCCCGCGCTGACTTATGCTGCTGAAAAGTTGTAAGAGGTGTAATCACGGACTCGTGGTTACTGGTCAGCTGGTGGCCAGCTGGTGGTTTGCTGCCTGCCAGTTGAACCTTGATATGGTCCTGGAATTGATGGCTGAATATCAGTCCTTGAGGGTTGTCCTCGTGTGAGGCAACAAGATAATAGTCCCGGAGTGTCGGAAGGTGGGTTGATCGTTGTTTGGCTTGGGTCTATCGTTCTTGCTTCTTTCTTATCTGTCCAAACAACACTTATAGGATCTAAGCAATACGTTGGTAGAATAGCAGGTATGCCACCTTGTTGTCGCGAGCATTATAACGTCCGGCAGATGACCGTGTGGTGCTAGGTGGCGCCGATGATCCGTTAGTGCCGGACTTCTTGCCTGGCGTGCCATTGACCTGGCTCCATCCTCTCTCATTGTCAGATTGGTCATCCTGGTCGATATGATCGAAAATATTAGCATTGGAGCTGTCCCGCTTATGCTGTTCCATCGCGGCAGCCAAGACCTTAGGATCCTCCTCGCCACCGGCTTCTGCAACATCCTCGCTGCGTACGCGACGGATCACGGTATCGTCCAACCGAATCCACTCACGGCCATCTTGCCGGCGAACGTCAACAGTGTAATGGCCGCCACTGGCATTCTTGCCGTGGTGATAAATGACACCGACAAGTCGGTACTTGGGCAGCCCGCCCTGTGCCATCATGACGTTGCGCTTGTTAGGTGGGAACACCTCGCGTGGGATCTCCAGATCAAGGGGGTACCCGATCCGCTTCCAGATCTTCTGAGTGCCGTTGGTGACGCTGTCGTACTGGAATCGCTTGAGATGGAGGATAAGGACTGGGGGCAGGGACTCGATGAAAACCTGTTTGGTGGCAGTGACATTAGGACCACGCGCAGAATTGAAATCTCCCTGAATGCTCTCCGGCTTCGTCAAGCCCTTGAGAGCGTCAATAATGTTGTTGATCTCGGGGGACCCGATGTCAAGCTGCAGCGGCTGGTAGGGCTCCAAAGTAACAGAAGTCTTGTTGCCGGGAACCTTGAATTCGGATCGAATCTTTCCTCCAAAGATTCTCGTGACTGGGGATTCCTGGGAAATGTCGCCAGACGAGCGTGTGACTGCTGCCTTTTGCTTGTGGCCGACTTCCAACCAACCATCAGATTCTTCGGTTGCGTTGCCCGCATCGGTGGTCGATGTCGTGGTGGTAGATGGTGCTTCCTTCGCAGCACGGCTGCACTCCTCGTGCATCTCCTCCAAAAGGAAACCTAAGAATTCTTGTGCATCTTGCTGGTGGCCACGCTATAATCGAGCAGAGTTAGTATATGACGCTTCTCTTTTTCTGGTGGAAATTACTCACTCTCATGTCACGGAATCGCGGCAGCTGCCGGATCACATGGTAAACAAACTCCGGGATGAAAGCGTCACCATACTGCTCGAGCTCATTGGCCTTCAGCCTAAGCCGCAACTGCTCCTCTGTGTCAGCAGCATCGATGACGCGAAACTCCCTCATAAACATGATCCTAGAACGAAGTCAGTCTAGTTCAAATCTAAAGCAACGACGGAACGGGCATCACTAACAATGCATCGATCATAGGGTAGTCACTAGTGAAGCTGTGTGATGCTCTCCGCCCAATGTGTTCCAGAAATTGGTAGAAGGGGACACAGAAGACCAGAATTTGCAGGACCTGTTCCCCGGTTAAACTTACGGAATGGACTGCGAGTGGAGTACGAACTTACCGAGTTCATGTAGCACATATTGCCAGTATTGACAAGACCTCTGGGCTCCAGGAATCCAATTTTGTCGCTGAACTGAGAAACATCCTCGCCCAAGCTCATCAAAACATCAGCGATCATCTCACTTTTAGGCTTAACAACACCGTTGGTCGCAGCAGCAGAAGATCCAGAGGTACCGGCCGCTTTAGCCAAGGACTTCGATTTAACCAAGTCTGCCCAGGATTTAGGGGCTGCGGGAGCGGGCTGGGTTTTCTTGGCAGGCTCTTGGGCCTTCTCGCCGGCAGGCTCTTGTTCCTCGGTCACCTCAATAGTGCCGCTGATACTAGTACTCTTCGGCGTCTCTGAAGAGCGAGCGGCCTCGTCTTTGAGAGCCTGGAGAGGAGTTCCAGGAGCAGGGACAAAAGGAACGACCGGAACGACCGGAGCAGTGGACTTGGGTCCCTTCATCTGAGACGGGGGGCGACCAGAGAGGGTCTGAGTCACCGAGGATGGAGTGGTGGGTTGAGTGGAATTCGCGACCGACGGGGCGACAGATATGGTCGGCGTCTGGGGCTCTGAGGGTGTTGGCACACTTTCCGCATTCTCTGCGCCTTGTCCCGCATTGTGTTCAAGCCGCTGGGCGTCCTTCACTGGGAGTTCAACTGAGGCCGATGAAGATTGGAATGCACGGCCTTTGCGACGCCTGCGAGGAGCTCTGGCAGGAAAAGGCGATTCAGGATCAGACAGCCATGGGAGCTAGTTATTCCCCTCTGTTAGATAACGGGATAATAATGATTGATTCCAAGCGCTTACCGGTGGGCAGAATGGCTCTCTGGGGGCAGGTTCGGCCTGAACAGGAACCGGAGGCGGTGGTGAAGGCACAACAGGACTTGCCAGTGCTTGGGCCGGAATAACTGCGGGTGATTGCGCCTGGGTTGCTAAAGGCACAGGCGCCATGCCAACGGGAGACATGGTGGGTTGCAAGGGAGTTGAAGTTCTGGGCTGCATAGGAAGCGTCGGAGGATGGATGTGCGCTGGCGCCATGATCGGCTGGGAGGGCGGGTAGGTCGCGACATACATTGGGCCATATGGATGCTGGTATGGGCGGGGAGGCATCTGCATGGGAGGATAGGGGTACCAGTGGGAATATTGTTGGGGCGTGTATGCGGCCGGGGGAGGATGGCCGTTCATATGGGGATGAAAGCCCATGTACGCAGGCGGAGATCGCATATTCGGAGGGCCTGCGGTGTAGGGAATATCTTGTTGTCGACGAGGGGTGGGCGGCATGGGTGGCTGCCCATGGGGCATAGCGGGCAGATGGTGGTTCATCTTGTCCAGGCAGTTGGAGGAGAGAGAAGTCGCCTTGACGATTCAGCCACGCGTTGCCTCAATGGGAGCCATACGAGATCGTGAGAGAAAGACCGGACTGATGAGGGGGGTTTGCACCCGTCTAAGCAGCCATTCTAACTTTCAACGCCAAGTCTGAAAGCTAGGACTAGAAAATATGTAAAGAAGTTCTTTGGCGGTGAGAAGTCCTGAGGCGTTCGAAAGGGATCAGCGCGATGACGAGAAGACGAGAAGACGGAGAGAGGGTGCGCCAGAGAGCTCGGAGAAGAGCACGATGACACGAAGCTCAAGATGGAAAAATGAAGTACTGACCTAGGGCGATGACAGTGTAAAGGTGTAAGTAGCTCTAAGAATAAAAAATCTTGGGATGCGAGGGGAAGGGTGTAGGTAGATGAACAATGGAAAACACCCGGGGTGAGAGTAGCAGCAGCGGAGGGGGCAATAGGCGGGTTTGGCTGGGGAGGAGCTGAGAATGAGATGATGTTTTTTTGGCGGTCGGCACGTGCCTGAGGCTCCAGCAGGCCGCCAAGACATGACATACTCGCCCCTCCCTCCCTCCTCCCGAGTCCCCTCCTCCTCCCTCCCTCTCCTACTCTTCTTCTTCTTCTTCCCCTCGCTTCTCTTCTTGCGCGTCTTTTCTATTTGTTCTGATGCGACAGGGGAAGCCTCAGGTTCCTGGTGCTTCTCCCTCTCCTTTGCGCTACCCTTCGGGGTCTTCGTGATTGTTCTCTTGATCGCCATCTTCTTATCTTCAGTCCTTCTCCAAACCTCACCTTTCCCCTTCCAATCAGCTTTAGAGTGGCTGTATATTCTGCATCCCCAATCCTACTCAGTATACCCACAAGCTCTCATCATTTATGCGCTGCCGTTATTCACTATTTTCCCCTTTATTGGAAGGTAGTCAACCTCACTTCACGCCATCCTCCTCCTTGATTGCACATAATAATGTCGTCCAACCCTGGCCAGATTCCCACATCCAAAGCGGTGAATGTCCCGAGCCAGCCAGCCCCCGCGACATACCATTCATCTGAGAATAGCGCGCAACGACGCGCTGGGGGTTCTGGCAGTTTTGGAGCCGGCTTAACGTCGAGAATCCCTAGCTCCCAGAGAAACAATCAGGCGAGGAGGACTCAGCGACAACGGCGCCCGAAAGTGTTAGATGATGACGATTACAGTGAATCGGTATGTCCTCCATGGCGATATTAGCGGTGTCTGGATGAACTAACCGGCGCGACCAACGCAGGCCATTATGAAGTCTTCAACCAGCCGCAAGGGGCAAACGTCCATCACGCATCTCATGAATTTCTCTCTTCCCCCACGCCCTCAGTATCAGCCTCCGCCCCGCAATGCCCGCCGTTATACCTCCTGGGGCCCGGGCTCCGGTTATCACGCGGTGGATAAGGCCCGCTATGTCCATGCAAACTACCGTTTCATTGTGAATCCAATCCAGAACTATCACACCCAGGCGGCTAACGCCGACGTTCACTTGGACTGGGATTCAGTTATTCAAGTCCTGGTGTCGGAACAAACTCAGTCCGCCAGTTGTCCTATCTGTCTCTCCACTCCGGTTGCCCCGCGAATGGCTCGATGTGGTCACATCTTCTGCCTCCCCTGCCTCATTCGCTACATGCATTCAACTGATGAAGAACATCCGGTGCCTGAAAAGAAGCCACGTTGGAAAAAATGTCCGATCTGCTGGGATTCGATCTACATCTCCGAAGCACGCCCTGTGCGGTGGTTTCGTGGTCAAGAAGGTGATCTTCCTGTCGAAGGCGGCGACGTCGTTTTAAGGTTGGTCAAAAGAGTTCCTGGCAGCACCCTAGCGCTGCCTAGAGACGGGGCCGAAGACATCGCTCCCGGTGCGGATATTCCATGGTACAATGTTGCTGAAGTCGCCGACTATGCGCGGATCATGAAGGGAGGCGAGGACTACATGAAGGACCAATACGATGCAGAGATTTCCGGATTGCGAGCGCAAGAGGTAGAAGACGAACTCCTGTTTGGGGACGATTCTACATGGAGCAAGAAGGCAGTTGCCGCCATCAATGAGGCGAAGTCCAGATTAGATGGCATCGGGAACCCTCCAGAGAATGTAGAGCGACAATTCGTCAACCTACCATCGGAAGCTGAAGCCGCCGTGAATTCTACATTACAAGATGCTGCACAATCAGGCAAAGGCTCATCCGCAGAAAGTTTCTCACCTGAAGGCGAAGGTCTCGACGGGACCCTAGAGAACAGAGTGACCGCCAACAATGCGGAGCGTGCGACTGAGGCGCTCGATCAGCTCGACTTGAACCCGACCGGCTCCAAGAACAAAAAGAGAGATCTTGGGACTGGCCGTGGCCCTGAACACCCGTTTTACTTCTATCAAGCTCTACCTCATTTCTATCTTTCCCCGCTGGACATTCGGATTCTCAAGGCCGCCTTTGGTGATTATCCTTCATTCCCTGCCACTATTCTACCACGGGTTGAACGAATCTCTACTGGGCATATTGTCGACGACGAACTTCGAAAAAGAGTCAAATATCTCGGTCATCTCCCCTATGGATGCGAAGTGAACTTCCTCGAATGCGATTGGCGCGATGTCGTTCAGCCCGAGGTTTTACAGGAGTTCAAGTCTGAAACCGACAGGCGGAGAAAGCGGAATCGAGATAAAGAGGCCCGAGAGGAAAAGGATCGCATCCGTGCTGAGCGGGAAGAAAACGAGAAGGGCTGGGCTTCTGCGTACCGAAAAAGACTTAGTATTGGTAGCAGCAGTGACCCTCCGTTTTCTGACCGTGATTTCCAGCCTTTAGCAAGCGGCGCTTCAGGCCTTGAGATGTCTCCTCCGGAGGAGGGGGGCTTGGAGTCTTCATCAGCAAGTCCGCCCAGCAGTCGAACAGTCTGGGGCACGGCAGCGGTGGCACCTCTTTCCCACCCGTCCAGCTCTCAGGCAGCCACTTCTGATGGTTGGCTTCGAGGCTGGGAAGAAGAGCTCTGGGCCCAGCAAGAGCGAGAGGCTCTTGCTCAATCAGCTGCTGAGGGGGCCAGTACGCCCGCCTCCTCTTCGGGTGGGAAGAAAAAGAAAAATAAGAAAATCACACTCATGTCGACTAACATCCAAAGAGGCGCTTGACTGCTCAGGACCTCATAGCTGGTATTTCGTTTCAGGGAGCAAGGGGACATGTGGACATTTATTGGGAGTTACAAGGCAAATTCGCATGTAGACGCCAAATGTTTAAACTTATGTATGATCAATGATAAATATACACTCCTGTATCTTGTTTATAGCAGATATGTTGTACTGTTCAATATGAACACGAAGGAAAGGAGTGTACAGTACTTCGAAGTTGCCATAGTCATGAATACTTAGAGTCCGTGGGGGATGCAGTTTGTTGACCCAGCCAGGCCAATCATTGAGTATGAGTCGGTTAGTGTGCGTCTTTAGCCAGGTGTTCAGATCCTTTCCCCTGCAGATCCCACTAAGTATTGGACGAGTGTAGACTAATCAGAAGCTTGAAAGGCCATTATCTGTAGGAAGCAAGTGTTATGTGACTTTTCAACTAGAGTACAGTACAGTCAACCCATGAAAAGGAAAATGTTGCTGAAGCTATAATCTACAGGCACTGACTAACTAGTTGTAGTACTCATGGTGTAACTTATAGTTCCTATGTACGGGAGTAGTATGTACATACAGTACTGTACTGTAGAAGTGCCACCGCGCGGGTAAAGAACCCACTCAGTCTTAGTGTTTCCCCGACCCTGGTGGGCACTGGGCACTTGTTGTTCTTCCTCGATCGCCCCATCATTCTCTCTTTTCCCTTCCTCTCTCCCCTACCCACCCTCTCTTTGTACAATATCAGCTCTGTGGGGTGCTTCATCTCAATCGTTCCCTTATACCTACACTCGAAAAGTGTTATTAAACTCAATTGACTGCATGGTCCGCGCACAATGACCGTGACTCGTTCCCAAACGGGGAAAACCCCCAAGTAAGTGATTTGTTTTGCGCAAGGGTGAAAATCTCCCAACAAGGAATTCGACTGCCTACGCAGTCTGATTACCTCAAACCCTCCCTCTCTTTCCCTTCGCTTCGACTTCACCTGCGCGCATAATAGCTTCGCGGCCACTTTGAGCTCACAACTGGATCAATGGCTAGGAAAATGGAGCGTCCTGGCTTCATCGAGACCCCCGGTCGCCGAGTGACCCGCAGCAGCGTTGCGCCATCCGACGACACTTCCGATTCAGCAGCAGATGCTTCAGGACAAGCCAAGTCATCGTCTCGAAAGCGCTCGTCACCCAAGGTTAAGATCGAAGAGACCTCGGAGGAAGAGACAAACACACCCGCGACCAATGGACACCCCGCCATTTCGAACGGCAAGAAGCCACGCATCATTGATGGCTGGGAGGAGGGCAAGGACCCCAAGGTCGATCACAGCGGACATTTCGAGTTTGGAGGGTCTTTGGGTGTATTGTGCATGATGATCGGATTTCCGATGCTGATGGAATACATGTGGCTCGGTGCCACCTATTACGATGGCAAACCGCCGCTTCCTGAGCCGGGCCAGAGCATCCCTGAGTTCTTTGCGCATCTTGGTAACTTGCTCTATGCGGGTGCTTTCCCGTCTCTGAAAGCATGGACGATATATTGGGTATTTTTCATCTTTGAGGGGGCTTGCTATGTGCTTCTCCCTGGTATCACCGTCATGGGTCGTCCTCTGCCGCACCTCGGAGGAAAGCAGCTCCCTTATTACTGTTCCGCTGTCTGGTCCTTTTACACGACAATCGCCTTGGCCTTATTGCTCCACTTGACCGGCATTTTCAAGCTTTACACGATCATCGATGAATTCGGACCTCTCATGAACGTGGCCATTCTCTCTGGTTTCATTGTTTCATTCGTCGCGTACTTTTCAGCGTTGGCTCGAGGCGCAGAGCACCGTATGACTGGGTATCCCATTTATGATTTCTTCATGGGTGCCGAGCTTAACCCTAGAATGTTTGGTATTCTAGACTTCAAGATGTTCTTCGAGGTCCGCCTGCCATGGTATATCCTTCTGTTCGTCACTATGGGTGCAGCTGCCAGACAATATGAAACCTACGGATATGTATCTGGGGAGGTTGGCTTTCTTCTCATGGCTCATTTCCTTTACGCCAACGCCTGCTCAAAGGGCGAGGAGTGTATCGTTTCTACATGGTGAGTTTTCGGTTCGGGACGCTGTCGGCATATCAGGCTAATGAGGAATCAGGGATATGTACTATGAGAAATGGGGTTTCATGCTAATCTTCTGGAACCTTGCCGGAGTGCCTCTGAGCTATTGCCACTGTACTATCTACCTTGCCAACCACGATCCCGCTACCTATCGCTGGAACCGGTCTTTCCTGATTTTCCTCTACGTCGCGTACCTCTTTGTGTACTGGGTTTGGGATACGACCAACAGCCAGAAGAACCGCTACCGCCAGCAGGAGCGTGGTACTTTGGTGTTTCGCAAGACTTTCCCTCAACTCCCTTGGCAAACACTGAAGAATCCCAAGACCATCACAGCTGAGGACGGTTCGAAGATCCTTGTTGATGGGTGGTGTAAGTTTCGCAGCGGAACCCCGACATTAGTTATAATTCATGCTGACCTCTCACAGACGGGAAGGCGCGCAAGATTCACTACACCTGCGACCTGTATTTCGCATTGAACTGGGGCTTGATCACCGGCTTCAACAGCCCGTTCCCATGGTTCTACCCCGTCTTCTTTGCATGTATGATCAGCCACCGCGCACTGCGTGATATTCAACGCTGTCGGAACAAGTATGGCGAGGCGTGGAGAGAGTATGAGAGACAGGTTCCCTACCTGTTCATTCCTGTAAGTTCGCCTTTTCAAATTTCTCTCTCTTACATGGAACATCAACTTATCAGACGAATTAGTACGTCTTCTAAATGACTTCATGTGCTGGAAATCTCCAGCGGTACAATGACCATCTCTTTGTAAGGCCGACCTGCGCCGACAAAAATGATCTTGTCAACTCTTCGACCTTGGCTCTTTTTGTGAGCTCTAATAATACACTCTTGTAATCATCATTCCCGGCCTAACCCTGGAAACTCCACTTTGTCACTGACTGCTACCCAGTGTGGCGAATCAGATTCCTGATGGGCTTGCCGGTGTAGGCTCTATCTTTCTGGCTTGTGTTATTTCTACTTCCATGAAAATTATATAATTCCTGTACATTATTAAAATGTTTGTTCTTGGTTGTTTCCGCCTTTGCCATTTCAAGATCATATATATGGCTTACGGCCTTCGAGCTATCGTCTGTGTCTTTTAAGATACCAATGTACATTCAAGTGCAATTCAAGCCACCTTAACATGACCGACCGGTGCACATATGCACTGTAGCACTAATCTTGAAATTGGACTGATAGTACGCGGATCACATGACTACCCCCCCCCCTCCCCCTCTAGGCTTATCGGTCGGCAATCAGTCCGGAGCTGCAACCCCGCCGAGCTAGCTATTTATCCAGCTGCTGGAGTCTTGCTCGGACGAAGATTGAACTCAATCAGAAGGCAATTGACATCCCATTTCGAGTATCTGCAACGACTCTTTCATCATGTTGATCCAAGAATCCTACCACGATGTGCCTACCACAGCGGACGGCAGTGGGACCATGCGTATGTTATAGAACTCGCGCAACCAACGTTGATATTCGGCTCCTACCGATTAGAAGGAGCTTTTCCATAATATCGAACCTGAACACTGAGGGCGCGAATGCTAACATGTACCCTGTCAGGTATTTACGTCTATCATCCCACCATTCCAGGATATCCCAAAGCACGGTTCCCGGGCGTGGTAGTATTCAGTGAGATCTATCAAGGTATAATCCCCCCGCCTTATCGAACCCATTGCAGCCCGGAGCAAAATCACCCACCGTTGAGCTGATCTCTTGCACCACTGTATCTGAGCCCAATCCGTTGACATGGGTTCTTAAAATCAGTTACCGGCCCCGTGGCGCGCTTCGCCCGTCAAATCGCCGGTCAGGGCTATATTTGCACCGCCCCCTCTAGCTACCACGAATTCACCGGTCCGGAAGCCCTTGAGTATAATGCCGAGGACACCGACAAGGGAAATGAATGGAAGATCAGCAAGGTAACAGCAGTCTTGGGATAGTATTGGAGGAAATTGTGCGCATGCTAACTCCCGATGACCACAGAAAATCGCTGCCTACGACGAAGACGCCTCTCTCTGTGTGGACTACCTCCTGTCACTGCCCACCTGCAATGGACGCGTGGGCGCAACGGGTATGTGCCTGGGTGGCCATCTGGCGTATCGGTGTGCGCTGGATAGCCGGGTGAAGGCGGCAGTGTGCTATTTTGCAACCGACATCCATAGCCACACACTTGGGAAGGGCAAGAATGATGACAGTTTGGCCCGCGCCGGAGATATCAAGGGAGAGTTGACTATGGTGAGTTCCTGTCTTCCTTCGAGACTTTGAGGAGAAAGGGGGAGGAAGTGAGTACAAGCATAGTCACTGACGTTGATGCAGATTTTCGGTAAAAACGACAATCATGTCCCTCCGGAGGGAAGGGATCTGATCCGCAAGACACTTCACGAGAAGGGGGTCTTGTTTAGCTTTTATGAGGTGGCCTGGGCGCAGCGTACGTTTTACCTTCATCCCCCCTATCATGGTTTCTAGGTTCGGTGGCGAAAGGTGTTGCCAACGCTAACGTGAACAGATGCTTTTATCCGGGATGAGCTCAGCAAGGGACGTTATGACCCTGCTATTACCAAGGTGTGCTTTGAGATGTTGCTCGAGTTGTTTGGACGGACTCTCAAGCTGGATTTGGGGGAGCATGATGGGAAGGAGCTGGAAATTGAGGATGTTTGCTAGTGGGCGCAGTTCTTCAAAACGAACCGTTGCGTTGGCGTCAATTATATAAAAGCTCCAGCACCACGCCTCTTGCCGTAGTATAAACATCTAGCACCGCTGGGGTGAGTTGTCATGCAGTGTACTGCTCAACCTACTTTCAATCTCCTTGAGACGTAGAAAACCATCTGTCTGTACTTCTGACAGGTAATTTGCTCTTACTTTACAGCTTTGATTATCAAGTAAGGTCCTGAAAACATCTAGTGGTGTCTACGCAAGGGAGCGCAGGAGCCTGGGGAAACCGAGCCAACTGACGATCGGCCTATGGGAGACAGCCCCGAACAACCACGAGTTCGTGCCGTCCCTGTGGAAGTGTGGATTGTCCGTCGGCGAGGATGCATGAACAAATGTATGTAATCAATGAGAGATGCATGATTGGGGTCGATTCATCTGAGACATTGAGACAAGGAAGGGAGCTCGGGCAGCTCTGTCGATCGTCATGACCGTAAACATCATCGGTTAGCCTAGGTTGATAATGATGATGGGATACTCCGTAGTACTACGGAGTACTCATCAGATTGTGGCTGGGGCGGGATGGCGGTGAAATCATCCCGACGTGCCATGCTGTGCCATGCCATGCCATACCATCAACATTCGCCAGCACTTCCACTCCGTCCTCCGCCCGTACTAAGAAGAAAATGGCAAAAGAATGCTGCCTGTCAACGCTAATCGGGCTATTGCCAGGAATCTGGCCAGCGTCATCATTCTTCATGAGGGGAAAGCTGGGACTAAAATAGAAGTGTGGGATTGGGGAGCCGTGGGTATTGCCCTCGTCATCCATGGTCAGCCCAGGGCGACCCTCTCTTTGTTTTTTTTTCCTCTTTTGATATCAACCAAGTGAGCCACCCGATTATTTTTGATGGAACCAAACCACAAAGAAGGAAGAGAAAGAGAGGGAAAGGGGCGAACGTCTGAAATCAATTCTCTTGATCATTCATACGTTAGCAAAACTCTTGAGTCCTCATCCGCAGGAGGCTATTTTCTGGGGGAGCTGGAAGGACCGCAGTAACAACAGTAGCAATTCATGTTTAAGTGAGGTTTTGGTTCCTGGATTTGCTGCAGGGTTTTCTCCTCTCCTCTTGTTGGTCAATTCTCATTTAGTCCTTGTTCTCTGGCCCCTCCACACCCCCCAACGGTGGTTCTTCCGGCCGGATTCTGGGCTGTCTTTTCCACTCAGGGCTGACCATTCGTTGTTATTTGCTGGATGCCGTATTGTGAGTCGCTCCATCACGCTTTTAGCCCCGGGCTAAACCCAGAATCCCGTTCCTCGCTCTAATCTCTCTAATCATCTCTCGACTATCCAGTCTAGCCTACTCATAGTTTAGTCTAGTTTAGTCTCTCGTCTTCCATGTCTCGTTTGTTTTTCCCTGGATCATGGACATGGACAATTGATTGACTGGTTGCTTGATTGATCACGACAAAGAGTACGGAGGTGCTGTCTGTACCTAACCTACCGACCTACCTACCTACCTACCTCACTATCACTAGTTACACCTCTTGCGGCCTTGCCTTCGTTCTCACCTTTCTCCCTCTCTCTCTCTCCCTCTCTCTCCCTCCTTCTCTCCCTCGCTGTCTCTCTCTCCCTGTCTATCCCCTCATCACCATCATAGCCATCATCCTTCATCTTAGCCGCCGCCGCATTTCTCCTCTACATACGGACAACGATTCTCTTTCTCTCGCTCCCTCGTCAGCATCGCCAGCTTCTCACCCACCTTCACCACCTTCACCACTTCCCAGTCCTTCCATACTAATCCATCACTCTTCCATATTTCCGCTCCCCCCACGTCTTAATCCACGTCTTAATCAGCACCGGTGTTTGACATATACGCTGACAGCCTGACGCTCTCCCATCGCTCGTTGCATTCTGCCAATCATCGTTTCCAGAATTGTTTCTGATTCTTCACATCTTTCGCTCCTCCATTTCTGTCGCTTTTCTTCAGCCCGGTCTCTGTCCGAGCTGCTGCACGACTAATTGCCAACCCAACGTGTCCGCCATCCCGTGTCTGATCCGGCGACTACCTAATTTAATTCGTCTGCCGCCAACTCTCTCTTCAGGCTTTATCTTTGTTTATCTTCCTTTTTCTTTTTTTGCTTTTCATTATCTCCAAACGGGACGATCTTTCGATCGACAAGGCTCTCTTAATCCTAATCTTGACTTTCGCATCTCTTGAACAGCGATCTGCGGCGGAGCTATCGTGACCGACGTGGGTCCAGGCAGGGAAAACCAACTAATTCAGTCATCACTGCCATCATCATTACCTCTCGAAACACCACTTTAAATTCTTCGCTACTCCTCACCACCTGACCGCTGTCGCATGTTGCTCAGCCCATCTTAATCATGGGTTCGACGCAATTTGGCAATTTCAACGTGGGTTCACAATTGAGCTGCACCTCGAGCTTGAACTGACCGTGGCCGATTTGCACGTGTAGGACTTTTGTCGCGATTCCACCTTACCAGTCTGCAATGTATGTAATCCCTCTCACCATGTCTCACTCGGACTTCGGAATATCGCTGACCATTGCCATCTTCAGCTATTTGTCTCGAATAATCAACCTCCAAACAAAGCTTACGGTGGATGTGTACTCAAGGGCATTGAGCTCAGTGGTGACCGATATCTCAGCAATTTGGGTATGGCATGATAGTCGAGAGGGACGAGAGGGAAAGTTGATCTCGACTGACGTAGCAACAGGTTCAATTCTCCTGGCATTCATCTCCATCCTGACGACACTTTTTCTGCTATTCAGATCTGACCGCAAACGAGCCGCAGTTGGAAGAAGGTACGCAATAAGAACCAATTGGGATATCGGAGACCAGATGGGGAACTAATTGATGCAGGGAGATTCAACTATTCTTGTTTGGCTTTCTCATCATCGAAATCTGCGAGATCTTCTCCGTGGGTGGATTCCCTCTGGACGGTGCGGTCCGAAAGGTTAGTTTGCCCAACTTGTCCGCGACGCTCGGCGCCTTATCTATTTATCGTACAGGGTTTCTCGGCGGTACATATTGCTGCTATTACTGCGACATGCTGGATTCTTCTGCTGAATGCTCTGGTGGGCTTCCAATTCCTTGACGACGGCACGCCCGCTTCGATTGGCTTGATTGTCGCCTCTGGTCTTGTCCTCTTCATTGGCACGGGATATATTGCCTTGGATACGGCTTTCGACTGGACAGGCGAATTCGCAACTACCTCCTCGAACCACTATCGCAACATTGCCCTTTATGTGCTGTACCAGCTCTTCCCGCTTGTTTGTCTCGTCTTGTTCTATGTGTTCGAAGTTATCCTGGTGGTGCGAATTCTTGGCGAATTCCGGCCGTTGAGTATGTTCCTCCCCACTTGTTGTATACTTCATGATTCTGACTTGGCTGCAGTCTATTTGACGGCTGCTGCACTCCTATTCGCCATTGGCCAGATCTTCCAATACGTGATTAGCGTTCATCTGTGCGAAGCATCGAGCGGGAAAATCAATGGTGCGCTGTTCGAGACTCTGTTCACTTTACTGGCAGTAGTCACTGTGTGGTTCTTCTGGAGCAGCATCACGGAGGATGACTGGCCCATGCCGATGTCAACCCCTGGAGGCTACCATTAAATCAAGGGAACCCTATCATGATTTCCTTCATGTCTTTGCGACCATTACGCACATTTTGTTTCCATGTTTCTTCTCTACGATCCTTGCACATATAGTGCCTCAATACCCATTTGGATTTTGTTCTCGGTCCTCGCGTCGCATCTGCAATTGCGTGTTGCGATGAAGGCCCGTATGTTTACCATGTTTTGTGTGATACCTATTTCACCTTATGTTTGATGTTCTGCTAATGTGCCTCGGTGTGAGTTATGTTCTAACGATGACTTACCGCGGCGAGTGAGCCCGAAGGATCACCGTCGGCTATATTTACTGCCTTCCTGTCTCCGTTTCTTTTCACCTTGCATTAGATACCTATTTGTATTGTAATTAGTCGATTCGATGTTCAATAGGACGTACGCAGGAGATGTCGAGTCACATGACTCCAGTCTTGGTGTCGATCTAGGTCATTCGTTGATCCCTGTACATACCACCACTTCTGAAGACCTTCTGTGAAAAGTTTGCTCGTGTTCCAGATTACTCTAGGTATGACCAAAGTACCCCATTCTGGAAAGGAAACGCATACATCAAACTTCTCATCTTACGAAATGACTGCGTCGGGGCACTTGCAGGGCGCCTTTGAGCTTCCATATCATCAGGATTGACTCCTAAGAATATGAAATAGGAATAAACTTCAATATATGCTATGTACAAATTGAATCAGAATCACCCACGCCGTATCCACTATCGTGTCGCCGAATCCCTGGCTAGATAGTTCTTCATACTCAAAAGGCTATTTCTTACCTTCGCAAGGACTCGTAGCGTACTTGCAGCGTACAGCATACAGCGCATTAAAGGTTGAAACGATGGAAACCGCCTCTCTGAGTCTGACTCATGCCTATGAGTCCAAGCAAGCTCTCCTTCTATCGCTCCCCACGAGTTATAGAACTAAGGATCCCGAAGTGACCACCGGCCGGTATATATGTAGACAGGGGCAAAAGGCACGACACCAACCACCCAATATAATGTTTTTTCCCTGATCAGAAACCACCCCGCATCCCCGACTACCACTTAGAGCCTCACCTTGACATCCACGCACGGCAAGGTCCACTCCCTCCGGCCCAGAAGACTGCGCACCCACTCCATGCCAATCCCCGTCCATTCCTGCGGTACACCCACCTCGGCCGATTGGTTCAGGGCGAGCCGCCGCTGCGCCTCATCGATGACGGCCCCGGACAGTGTCTTGGCGGTCGAGGTCACCGTCTCCAGGAGATAGTCGGCTAGGGTCTCGTTGGCGGGACTGACCGGGCATGAGGTGGGCGCGACGGCGGCGGCGGCGGGGGTGGTGTAGCGCGGACTGAACCAGTCGCCGCGGAGGTCGAAGAAACACCTGTCCGACCAGTGGCAGGAGGAGATGAAGAGGATGAGGAGCAGGGCGGAGCAGTAGATGCACGGTCGGTGGAGGATGTAGGTCAGGGTGACGAAGGAGATGATGAAGAGGGGGGAGGCGTTGGTGGGGATGAAGAAGAGGGGAAGCCAGCTAGATTAAGAGGTGATCAGTATGATGAGAAGGTAAAATG